CGCCGATCGCCGGCGAGCAGGGAGTGAAAAGATGGGGAAGCGGTGGAAGGATAAGGATTGGGTTTCTAGAGAGAGAGAGCGCTATTCAAAATTAGATATTGATTTTTTAACAAAGATTTTTGTTAATATCGTTAAAACATACGGCTCTCTTGGTTTGGCTCCCGGACTCTTAGGAGGTAGTTATGCTTTTATATCCCTAAGAGTAGAGTCATGTTATAGTGTTTTTTTTCAGCAACGGGGTGCTTTCAACTTTCAATCGGGTTGTCTCTACTTCATTTCTTTGATAAGGAGGCATTGTAAGGTTCGGTTCTCTTCACTAGTATCGTCCTGCACTCATTGTCCATCTTGAGGGTTTTAGTTCATTTGGAAGCTCTTGGTCCAAGTAAAGGTTTTTGTGAGATGGTTTTGGTTATCCAGGCTCCAGGGTATTTGCTATGATGCACGGCTTCTGTGGTTTAATTACTCACTTCGTTCTTCCTCTGATAGTAAGTGGCAAGCCCTGTGTGGGCTTAGTTGGGTGTGTTGCCTCAGCCACGTTACGTATGGTTTTTGATTGGTTTTTTATGTGTTTAGTTTGGTGTAATAGGTTGTTTTTAGTTGTTTTTTTAGCTCTCTTAAGTTGTAATTTGTGTTTTATTTATGAAGCTCTTTTGTCAAAAAAAAAAAAAAAAAAAAAAAACAAAAGAAATTCCTACATTAACAAAATGTTTTTATTACTATATTTATATGATTTTTCATTGTTCATTATTAATACAAGATTGGGAAATTCTCTTTGGTAACACTATACTTTTTAATTTTGTTAGTGGTGAATTGCGAAAAATCTTATTATATTTGGTAAACCTAAATTTTTAATATTAAGTCAACTATAACATTAATGATAAACATTAACTAAATATGTAACTATAGTTAGTTAGGTTTTTTTTTTCTTTTTTACATTTATTTTAGAAATATTTTTTTTTATAAAAGAAGTAACCCATTTCCCAACAGCCAACCACCTCTCCCCCACCCCCATCCACGCCGGCGCCCAGCCTCACCTTCGTCGGTGTGCCGGCCTCCATTACCCCCTGGCGACGCCCAACCTCCCCCAACCCTAGCTGGTGACGCCCAGCCTCCCCCGCCCCCACCTCCTCTCTTGCTTTCCCATCTCAACCAGCGACGCCCAGCTCCCCACCCGACCGGCGACGCTCACTTACTATCTCCTCCAATTTCGATAAATCAAGCTTTCTTAATGTCTTTGAACTGCGGTTTTTGATTCAATTTACAATATTGTGTGAATTTTTGCAGCAAAAATCAAACCCCATGGGTTAATGCAAAAGCATAAGGCTAATTTGTTGAATCAGCTTAAGGATCTCGTGGTTGAGCAAATTTAGATTTCCTTTTTCTAAGGTTTTTAATTTTAAGGTTTTTGGATGATTTGATTGAATTGATTGGGTTTTTTGGGGGGATTTAGCAGTAAGGTGGTGTAATTGGGGATTTTGACCAAGTTTTGATAGTGATGTCACAAAAGCAGAAGTCAACATTGAGGGAAGCATACAAGAACAAGAATCGGGGTGGGGGAATGGGAGAAGTGGGGTGTCGTGGCGTTGGGTGGGGGAAATGGGCGTCGCCAGCCGGGGGTGGGGGAGGTCGGGCGTCGCCGGCCGACGCCTGGCCGCCGGCATGGGGGGGTGCTCGTGGCTAGGTTGGGTGGGGGAGGGGTTTGGTTTTATTTTTTATTTTAAAACACTGCTAGAAAACAGCCAATCAACGACGGAAAAAAATCCGTCGGAATTTCGTTGGAAATGCCCATTTCTGACGGAATTCCGTCGGAAGACATCGTCGCAATACCTTTTGTAGGAATTTTGGGATATTTCGAGGGAAATTCCGTCGGAAAGGTCCATTCCGACGGATTTTGTTCTGTCGAAGTCAGATTTGACTTAATTGGAAAGTCCGTCGCAAGGTTCCGACGGAAAATTCCGTCGAAATCTACTTACTTCCGACGAAAATTTCCGTCGGAAAAGTCAATAATAAAAAATAAAAAAAAAGCCCCACCCAGACCCACCCCCGCCACCAGCCCACCACCACCCACCCACCCACCCCCCCCCCCACACAGACCCCCCACACACCCAAACCACCACCCACACAGACCCCCCCCCCAGCAGCCCCCATACCACCTTAACCCGCCTCTCCACTTCCCTAACTTAACCCACCTCACCATACCCACCTCCCCGAAACCACCACCTCGAAACCCACCTCCCCAAATCCTCCCCGAAACCCAGAAACCACCACCTCCCCGTAACCCACCTCCCCGAAACCACCACCTCGAAACCTACCTCCCCGAATCCTCCTCAAAACCCAGAAACCACCACCTCCCCGAAACCCACCGAAACCACCCTGAAACCCACCTCCCACCAATTCCCCAAACCCATCACCCACCTCACCGTAACCACCCAAAACAACCACCGAAACCACCCAAAAAAACATCAAAAAAAAAAATCCATAATTCAACAACACCATAATTAAAAAAAAAATCAGAAAAATAAACAAGTTAATTAAGAAGAAAAAAAAGACACGTACCTTAATTTTGACAAAAAAAAACCCGTCGAAATTGGATTTACAAGGTCAAATTCGACCATGAAAACTCTAGATCTAGAGTTTTCGTGGTTGAATTTGACATGAAAACCTTGATTTTCTTGAAAATCTTGAATTTACTTTGAATTGAAACCCAAATAACCCAAACTGAAAATGAAAAGAAAGAGAGGAAGAGGAAAGACAAAGAAGGGAAGAGGAAAGGAAGGAGAGGAAGAGGAAAGAGTAGGGGCGCCATAGAAGGAGAAGGAAGGTGAAAGAAGGAGAAGGAAGGGAAGGAGAAAGAGGGGAAGAGGAAAGAAGAGAGGAGAGAGAAAGAGAAAAGAGGCGTGAAGGGAGAAAGAGTAGGGTTTTTGCTTTTAAACCCTTTTTTTTTTCTAAATCAGTCAGAATGTTATATAATTCTGTCGGAAAATTTCCGACGGATAATCTAAATTCGTCGGAAAGTTCCGACGGAACTTAAATCCCTCGGAAATCACGTTTTTTCCGACGGATTTTCGTGTCCGTCGGAACACGTCCGTCGTAAATTTCCCTATTTCTAGTAGTGAATTTTTTTTTTTATATAATAATTTAATTATTAGAAAACATAATAAACTAACTATAGTTAAGGTTTTTTTTTATTAAAATAACACTTATCAATGGTAATCAATAGTTCAAGTTTACCAAAGAGAATAAGATTTTTTGCAATTTACCATTGAGAAAATTAAATAGTATAGTGTTACCAAAGATAATTTTCCTAAAAGATTTTATTAATTCAACAATTACTATCAACAATACAAAGTACTATTAAATGATACTACAATAGACAATGTAAATAGACACTAGCTACAGTACTAAATTAAGGTTTACATTAACAAAATGCGTTAGTTCTTTGCAACACTTTAAGACATACAGTCCATGTTAATGACCATAAGACTTTAAGCAACAGTACTCAAAATATCTTCAATAATACCAATGTAAATTCACTTTGAATAGTAACTTTTATATTATAATAATTGAAAACTAGAGTAAATTTCTATTAAAAAAAAAAACACCAAAAAAACAAAACATGAGTACCTATCGGGGTCACTTTGGGTCGGGTCATTTGAGTCGGGTCACTTCGGATCATATCGGTTCAGGTCAATCAATTTGGGTCACTTCGAGTCGGGTCAACTTTGAATTTCGGGTCAATTTCGAGTTGGGTCATTTTGAACATTGGGTCACGTTCGGGCAACTCCACTTCAGGTCGTGTTTGAGTCAGGTCGGGTTAGTTCGAATTTGGGTCAATTTTCGGATTACGGGTCAGATCATTCGATTCGAGTCATTCAATCGGGTCAGAATTGCCGGTTCTACCCTACTTGCCCATGCCGCTGTAGAGTTCACTATCAAGACTTCAAGACAAAATCCCAAGTCCCCAAGTGTTGATAATGGGCTAAATCCCCAAAATGATCCTAGTGTACGTGGATGGGATCCGTCCACACAAGCAAAATTATAATCCCGATCTCCTCACTCCTTCAATACTCCATCGTTTCATACATTGTGAGCTACTTATGATAACGATCACTAAATCATGGATGGTACAAATTATAAACTGTAATTAGTTATGATAATGATGATTATTTACAACTACTATAATTATACTACGATTAGGTATCATGGAACAGAGAGTGTACTAAAGTTTTATACTCCTCCTCTTTTTTTTTATACGTAAGTAAAGTTTGTTAAAAAATTAAAAATTATAAAATGAAGATAGTGGGTGAATAATTTATATAAAAGTGATGCGAAAGAAAAGGAATAAAAAAAATTGAGGATCATAGACATAGAAAAATTCATAGGATTCCATTTTTAAAAATTAATGCACTAAAGAAAAGTTGTTTATGAAAATTATTACACTTAAAAAAAACCGGGGAGGATATAACCTTTGTTAAAATACAATCATTAATTTTAACGATTGCAATTTCAATAACACGAACAAGTGTTTTCAAATTAAATTTGACTTCTAGAGATGAGGTGGGAAATGGAAGCACGGTAATAAGATCTTGGGGAAAAAGAAAGGTATCGCTGCCGTTTGGGGCGATAGCCATGTAGTTGCTAGCTAATCTTTTGGCCTAATAAACCATTACACCATCTTAGTTTATTTGTACTTTTAGCTAGAATGTTCGTATCTATCATTTACAAAAATGTCACCATATGTGACTACAAAATGTTTATATTACTATATTTATATGATTTTTCATTGTTCAATTAATATTTATTAACTCGCCATGAACCAACAACAATAACTCAACAGGAATCACTATAAATATATAGTCAAATATCAAGTACATGGAAATGATATGATAGATAACATAAATAGACGCTACGGTGAGTAGTAAGTCAAAGCTTACATTAACAAATGCAATCAGTTTGCAACCCTTTATGTATGACGTACAGTCCATATAAATTATAAAACCAAATACTTTAAGCTACGTTACTCAAAACATCTTCAATAAATTGACCCAACCATTTATGAGATGAACCACCATCTTCTAATGCATTTCTACTTTTGTCACTAATTTCCCTTACTTTGTTCATCGTCTCCTCATCCAAACTCATCAACTTCTTCACCCCATTCTCAATCTCCTCCGCGGTCACCTTTAAGTTTCCTTTCCTAGTCTTCCAATCACGTCGATAATCCACCCTAATCTCCACCACTAGTCGTCCAAGCTCCTTCACTAGCTCAAACGTGTTCAATTGTTGCTCCGCGTACAACGGCCATGTAGCCATAGGCACCCCAAACCACAAACTCTCCTAACGTCGAGTTCAATAACACGAACAAGTGATTTCTAATTAAATTTGACTTATAGATGAGGTCATGGATGAGGTGGGATATATGGAAACAGGTGATAAGATCTTGGGAGAAAAGAAAGGTATTGCATGCTACTGTTTGGGGCGATAGCCATGTAGTTGCTAGCTAATCTTTTGGCCTAATAACTTAATGAACCATTACACCATCTTTAGTTATTGGTACCTTTTGGCTAGAATGATATATCTACTCCGTATCATTTACAAAAATGTCACGATATGTGACTACAAAATAGTTATACTACTTTATTTGTATGATTTTTCATTGTTCAATTTGATATTTATTAATTTGCATGATCAATCACTATAAAATCTAATATTATTACATAAATAAAGTAGGCATTTTTGGAGAGCATTCGGAGCGTCACGTAAGAAATATACTTATTTCGACCAATAAGAAGAAAGATTTGTATTTTATTTTTGAATAAAAAAATTATGTCACCACCTAGATTAAAGTAACGAATTAGATTTGATATATCTAAAATTTTAATGCCACGTAGATTATAATCCACGAATTAAATTATTTTAATGAAAAAAATAAAGTAAAAATATAGGAAAAGATAAATTTATTAATTCAATACTACGAGTATAAGAAATCTAAAAAAAATATACTAAAAAATATTTAAATGATAAACACTTATATTAAAGTTTGATACCTATCATTATAAGATAAATTTTGATAGTATTTATGATAAGAAATACAAATTGTTCGTTAATTATAATTAAATTAAAATTTGTGATATCTACCATTATAAATTGACACATCATACGACACAAACAAAATTTCGTATCAAAAAAAACCCCACCAAGCGAATTTTGTGTTAATTTTTGGTCATCAATGGCCGGGTAATTTTTAGCTTAATTTTTAAAATCCTATGTTTAAATTAGTATTTCTAATTATTACTTACATTGTATTAATTTGAGATACTCAACGATTATATGTTTATGTTTTATTTACTAAATGTTTTTTTACATGCAGATCTAACACATCATACAACACAAATAAAATTTTGGTATCAATTCAAAACTCCATCAAGCGAATTTTGTGTTAGTAATTTGGTGTTAGTTTTAGGTCATCAACGTCCGGGTAATTTTTAAAATCTTATGTTTAAATTTATATTTATAATTATTAGTTACATTGTATTTATTTAGGATACTTAACGATTATTTGTTTATCTAATGGCATACGATTAGATGTTATATACTTAATATATGGATGATTTTGGTTATTTTTAGAGATGATGAAAAAATTCCAATGCATAGATTTGATTTTATATATATTGATTTATTTTATAAAAATGTAAAGATTTAATTTATATCAATTTCAATTTGGCTAACATTTCACGGTTCAATTTATCTATTGACGTAGTAGGTTGGTTCTGGACGAAGTTAGTGATTCTATCGAAATAAAAGATATGGTAAAACAATGAATAATGATTTAGGATTTAAATTATTAAAAATTTATCATTTCACATTAAAGATTTTATATAACGGAAAAAATATCATATTTACAGTTTATTTATATTTAATAAATTCATTATAAATTATAGTAAGAAAAATAAATATTGAAATTTTATAATTTTGTCTGAAATTATTGAATACAATAAATCAAATAATTAAAAATCTTAGATGAAAAAATCGTGTGTTACACGGACTTTCATCTAATTATTAATATTATAGTCAAATATAGAGCTAGTACATGTAAATTAGTAAATAATATGATAGATAACATAAATAGACGCTAAAATGAGTAGTAAGTCAAAGCTTACATTAACAAATTAAATGCAATCAGTTCGCAACACTTTATGACGTAGAGTCCATAAAAAAACCAAATACTTTAAGCAACATTACTCAAAACATCTTCAATAAATTGACCCAACCATTTCTGAGATGAACCACCATCTTCTAATGCATTTCTACCTTTGTCACTCATTTCTCTTACTGTATTCTTCGTCTCCTCATCCAAACTCATCAACTTCTTCACCCCATTCTCAATCTCCTCCGCGGTCACCATAAAGTTACCTTTCCTAGTCTTCCAATCACGTCGATAATCCATCCTAATCTCCACCGCTAGTCCAAGCTCCTTCACTAGCTCAAACGCGTTCAACTGTTGCTCCGCATACAGCGGCCACGTAGCCATAGGCACCCCAAACCACAAACTCTCCAATGTCGAGTTCCAACCACAATGTGATACAAACCCTCCTACGGCCTTATGGCCTAAGATCGAGACTTGTGGTGCCCACCCTATAATTTTCCCTCTTTCGGCCATACGGTCTAGAAAGCCTTTAGGTAACACATTCTCGAATGTTTCATGCTCACTTGGCATTCCAAGTTTATCCTCGGGTGGTGGTTTTCGTAAGGACCACAAGAACCGATGTCCGGACTTCTCTAGGCCGTTAGCTATCTCTATCACTTGTTCCTCATCGAAGCTTCCCATGCTTCCGAAGCAGAGAAACACTACCGAAGATGAAGGTTGATCATCTAACCATTTTATAATAGACTCTTCCCTTTCACCTCGGCCCTTACTATCGAGCTCCAAGATGGGACCCACAGGATAAATCGCCGGTATACCATTCTTACCCACTTGATCGAACAAAGATTGTACACCATATGTTTCAAGCTCAATGTAGGTATTTACGATTATACCCTTGGACTTTTTAAACGCCCTTGCATGATTAAGAATCATGGAGGATCCGCTTTCCTTGTCGAGGAACACCGCAGGGACGACCTTCCCCGGGACTCGGTTGACGAACCCGGGTGTATCGAACTCGATACTCGGGTCGTTGAATTTAGTAGCAGTGTCAACCCCTTGATCATCTTCCAACATTTGAAAGTGAAATAAAAGATTTAACAAATTAACTCCAGAAGTGAAGAAAATATACGAGGGGACCATGAAATGATCAGCAACTTCAACCATGGTAGTGCAAAACATGTCGAGGACAAACCCAGCAAGGCCGGCTCCGGCCTTGACTCGGTCCTCGACAACGGTTTTAACGAGTGGTTTGTGGAGGTTGATGAGGGTTTGGAAGAAGTTGGAGGAGGTGGGGTCAGGAGGGTTGGAGAGGGGTGGTAAAGAACAGAAGGTGAGGCGAGTAGGGTAATGGTTGTCACGTGATTGGGATTCAATGAAGGAGTTGAGCGTTTGGGAAGTTGTGGGGCTGTTGATGATGAGAATAACGATCGAAATGCGGTGGTCGCGGTCGAGGATGTGCTTGGTTAATTCTACGGCGGAGAGAAGGTGGCCCATTCCTGGGGTTGGCACAAACACTAGCTCCATTTTTGTAGTTTTGGTTCAGTTGGTTTTTTTTTATTAAGATGGAAGATTGAGAAGTTATGAATAAGATTGTGCTAAATGCAACATCTAGGGAGTATATATATAAGTATATAATAGGTAGTACGTGGATATATTTATATTAAAGTCATATGTAAAGTAGTACTCATATACTCGTATATTAAACTAATCTGTAGATCAGATTAATTTTATCTCAAAAAAATTTAAATAGAAAATAAAAATAATATAAAACGGAGGGAAGAGTACGTTAATTATGTTTCAAATACCAATGATTATGTTATTCGGATTGTCTCAAGGTAAACACATATCAAACTTCTTATAACTTTTACTAGCATATAATTAAAAATATTAATGTATAAATAAAGTTGTGTACCAATAGATTTGCCAATGGTACGATTATAATTTTAATAAAACAAACAAAAAGTGTTTTCCAAGCAAATTAGAGTTATTATAGAGATGAGGTCATGGATGAGGTGGGAAATAGAGGCCGGGTGATAAGATCTCGGGGAAAAAGAAATGAATTGCTGTTGTTGGGGCAATAACCACGTCGTTGCTTATCTTTTGGCCTAAAATATAAACAATTTGGTTGTCAGTTTGTCACCTTCTAAGAAAGAAGCTCTTCGAATTTGCTAAGAATTTTTCAAGGAATATTTTTTTGTAAAACTCCAAATCACAAGTTCTTTATCAACTTTGAACCTATAATAGTGTAACAGAATAACATTTTATTACGTTGTTTAGTTTATGTTACGTGTTTGGTTTATCTAGCTTGCATGATAGTACACGCTCTACGTTGCGCACTTTATATGGTTTATATACTATATTTTTTGAATTTTCGATGACTATTTAAGATATATTTTGTGTGCGGGATTACAAGTTCGTTCCATCCACTAAAATTATTGCTAAAACTTAAAAGAAAACAATAAGCAAGAGTTACTCACTTTTTTGTACTATGTCAATCTTAATTTAAGTACAAGGAACAAGTATTGCAATCGAATATATTTAAAATAAGTTATACTGTGTTTAGGATACGATGCATTCACCCTTAATCTTTCTTTAAAGTGTATTTTTATATATATTCACTTGTTCATCATTATACGGAGTAACTTATACCGCCTTCGTTTTTATTTAGTTGACACGTTTTGATTTTAGCACTATTTATACACTCTTCTTTGACCGTATTTTGTGCTTTATGCATAATGAAAAATATTATCATGTGGGATCTTGTTAGATTCATCGCGATATATATTTTCAAAATATCAACTTTTCATAATTTTGCTTATGGGGTAAATAAAGATATTAATGGTTGAATTTGTGCATCGGCAAACGTGACTAAAGAAACGTTATTATTCTCTTGATGAAATTAAACGTTGTTTTTTTTAAACTCCCTCCGTCACACAGAATAATAGACACATTGGACTTCTTTCACTTTTTTATACTACCCCTGTTTCATATTATATAGAGCATTTACTAAAAATGGTTGTTATACATTATATGTAATAAATGTTATCTTTCCATTTTAAGTTGTCATTTAATTTCTCTCAATCTCTCTCCTCATCACATGCATCACTGGTGGTGTAATCCCCATATTTTTAAAATAAATTATTATATATTTCTTTATTATTTAAATAAATATTTTATTTCGTTTTCATTAAAAAAAATTATGTTATGCAAAATTTATTCGAACTTTATTAAAATTATAAGCTCTATTTTAAAATAAAATCCTCTTCTTACCTACTAACCATGGTTCAACACTAATGTTATAATCATAGTAGCCCAACTTTAAGTGAATGGAGCCTATTTTTTCACCTAACCCAACTTATTGTGGCCCAAAAACAAGTCATGATTTTATTAGGATTAGAAAAGAGCTTAACACATAAGCCCATATCCAACACTCCACTCAAAATCCCACCACCTTGATGTAAATTATGATTATGTATAAACCTGTGATTAATCTTCTCCCCAATATTACAAGTGTAAAAATTGGATCATTACAGGGTCATTGAAGGGCGAAGGCCATGACCAAGGAAAAGACACACAAAAGCACGCAATCAGCAACGCTGAGTACATACAAGCTACAAAATATATTATAGAGTCCCTAGCATGTTACTAAAAATCAATCAGCACACACAATCTAATTATTGACTCAAACACACACGCCTCAACTGTTAATATTACTAAGACTTCACTAATTACTAACAATAATTCATTTCATTCATTAGTTGGATTAAGCAATAGACCAGGTTGTCTCCCCATGCTCCAATTCGGAACATCAATAAAAGAAAAACCCTATGCCTCCTTTCGGAAACATTAATAAACATCCAATGGCAGACGGGCGCGACTCCGTGGCCATAACTAGTATGAGATCTCATCTAACCCCTTATAGTTTAGAAAAACATTTGTAAACAAGAGACTCGTAGATCAGACGGCCTCTAGAAAGTACATGGCTAATACCCCGTGAACCCCAACCCCTGATTGTCAATACTCTATATGTGCACAAATCCAGAGTTTTATTGTTCATCCTTCTTGCACTTTACGTGATTTACAAGTTTAAACTTGTTGATAACTCAATGCAAAACAATACAAACAATCATACATCAATCATTTAAACAATTCAAATTTCCATTTCAATTCTTGATTTATTAGTGACAAACAATATTTAGTATTGAATCCTTTAACTACCTCGGTGTATAAACACCTTAAGTGCATAAGGCACCTCAAATCCTCGACCTCGTCTTGTAAGACTTTAATTCTCCCTTTACCCATTCCTTTTCAATAATCATGAACGAGTAATAAAATATTTCATTCCACATATTCACGTACCTTTGCCTCTAAGCTCATCTTGCAAGTTAATGCATAAATGATGCTTACAAGATAAATTAATACGCAATTCTCATACATGAAACAAAACCAATCATCACATTATTCACCAATCAAACTTACTACCATACAATTCCAACCAATCCACAAGTTTCCTAGCATGATTCTAAGTCTTCCAAGTCCTTAAACATGCTTCTAGAGTCAAGGTTTTCGTATCCTTGTACGTACCTTGAGTAAACGAGTTGGTTGGCCACTTTAGGAACTAGAAATCGTCTTCTACAAAATCCTCTCCGATCCTAAACCAAATAATAATAATTCAATCAATACCCAAGCAATATAATTTACAGCAATACTAACTTACTTTAAAACCCCTTAAACCACTGAAATAATGCTTTTAAATTACTCACAATAGTCAAAGTTAATAATCCAATAATTCAACTATAAGTTTATATGTTAAAATCATGAAATTATAGCTTATAACATAACATTCCAGCAACTTTAAAGTAAGGATTATAATCTGAAAATTTAATTTAAATATAAAACAACCTCATAAAGATCTTTACTTGAAATAATCATTATATAGTAGATTAGTATGTTAAAAACCTAAAAATCCATCATAAAACCATGATTTAAAACCTTTAAAACCAAGATTAAAAATCTGAAAATTTAATTTAATAGTAGAATGTATGAATACAACAATCTAAACTAGTAATATATTTAGAATTCAATTAGTTTCATAAAAACTCAATCAAACCTTCAAAATTCAATTAAACAACACTCTAAAACCTTCCTTTTTGCTAGAATTAAAAGCTTATATATTATCCTTAAAAATTTCCTACATAAAAATATTAAAATACATACTTATTCATAAAATTACAGCAAGTTTAGAGCTTTATAAAAATCTAAAAATTTATTTTAAACATTAAATCTTCGTTAAAATTAAAAACTGCCCGAAAACCATATTTAAGGGCTGAATTTGGCCACGAGAGGGTGTGGTGTTCACTACCAAAGGTAGTGAGATTTGATTAAAACATCGTTTACACACGAAAAACACTATTTTTTTGTAAAAATCGGACTAGTTAGAATCTAAACGTGGTTAAAAAAAAATTAAGAACGGAGATCAAAGTTGATTGCGGAAAACTTAAAATTTGTTTTTATGCTTAATTGATCATTAGAAATTTAATAGGAACAAAAGCCCTAAATTAATTGATCATTAGAACCCTAAAATCCCAATTTAACTAAATTAAAACCCTAGGTTTAAAATTACAAATTTGAAAATTAAAACAACAATTATAATATGAAATTTATTAGTTTAAAACATCAAAAACATGATTTTGATACTAAATAAACTAATTTCAAGCAATAAAAACCAAAACCCAAAAATCAATTGCATAAGCTTTATGAAAATAATAAGAAATAAAGGAGGAAGAAAATAAGACTAACCTTTTTGTGTGGGGAAAATTTGGGGATTCATGGGGTATTTATAGGAGAGAATTGTAGGGTAGAATTGGGTCTCATGAAAATAATGGGCCAATTAAATAAACAAATGGGTTAGGCTTTGTTTTTATAATAATGGATTGTAGGATATAGATTCATAAAATAATTTAGCCTAAAATAATTTTTGACCCAAATTAATAATTTGAAAATTAAATTCTGGAAAAATACAAATAAATATTATAAATAAAATAAAATTTCATTTATAAAATATTTAAAACTACGGGGGATTACACCACCAGACCGCCACCGCACAGCCGCCCTGCCTGCCGGTTTTGCCTCCCTTCCTCCTTCCTCCCTTGTTTCTCCTTCTTCCTTATTTTAAAAAATATTGTTATTTTAATTTATATTGTTAGTTTTAATCACTTTAATCATGTTTAAATTCTGTAAAAACATGAGAAATTATCAAGTTTATAAATTATGATATCTAGTTTAAATTTCAGATTACATAATTTGTGAAATTAGGGCTTAAACCTTGATTTTCATGATTTTAGGGCTTAAAACGTGTTAATCAAGTTACCTAATCATACGATGTTTAAATTATGTTAAAGCTTAATTATTTTGATTGTATATAAAATTTCAGATTTTTAAAGTTTCGATTTTGGGTTTTGATTTGTATTAGTTTCATATTTTCATGTTCTTAATTCCGTTAGATGGTTATTATGGGTATGTTGTAACTATAAAATGTTAAACTTTGAAGTATAGTTTCATGACTTAAATTTCAGATTTTTGTCTATTATTTTTGGAGTCTTAATCACTTTAAATTAATGGATTTTTGGGTTTAAAGTCTACTAATCTACTATATAACAAAAGTAGTAAGTAAGGATTTCAATAACTTCAAAATACTTGTTTAAAATAAAATTTCAGATTTTTATAATGTTTT